TATACATAAACTTCACTAAATGTGACATAAACATTTCTAAAATACAAAGTTGATTTGGAAATTACTAAAGGGAACCAATGTTTTATAAACAAAAGGGAATAAAAGTGTTACCTAAACTCATAAAAGTGTTGAGTAATTCTGGGAAAAAACAGTTAAGTTTAACCATAATCAGGTTATACATTTTTACAGTAGATTTTACAGTCATTTTTTTTTTCTGTTTGTGCAATAAATGTAGCTATTTGCAAGCTTTTCATTGCAGGGTTTGTAAATTATCATTTATAAGTGCAATAGTTTATAAATTGAATGGCTTTGATGATTGAAGTGCAGAGATTTCTTAATTTTTTTAATGGCAGGTAATTCAGCTTGTGATAAAATAAATAACATCCTGTTCAAGTACTCATATTTTGTTTCTTTTCACTTTTATTAAAAAAAGAAGAAGCTTGCAATCAGTTTCAGAATTGGGCTAATTTCTTTCATATCTTTGCACAATGATCTACAAACAGGCAATAAGCGAACAGGCAACCCAAGTAGTTTTGGACCATATATTTTCCACTCCATTTTGATTTTTATACAACCCTTGAAACTAAAGCTTAATCATGACACTTCCAACACTCAAAACATGATGTTTGATGTTTGTTCACTAGTTTAAAATAAACAGAAATGGCACATTCTTGAGTTTTTAAGGGGACATGTTAGATAAATTAATTTGATTAATTTCCATGTATTTTATTTATATTCTTTTTATATGTATACTTTTAAAGAAACCCAAAGTTAATGGTAAAAATGGTTGCTTCTTGATATAATCACATGCTCAACTCTAGTTTCCATTAGTTGAATGGTTGGAATGTACCAGTTGCAGGAATATTGTGCTGACAATGATTTGATTATATAATCAATAGGATTCTACCAAACAAACTATTTGTATGCTTGTATAAAAACTGGCCTCAAAGGCCTGCCCTTTAAGCAACTAGAATGGAACCTCTTGTGTTTCTTCTGTATTGTTCCATTGCTGCAAGAACATTAAGGGCCCTATCATACACCCAGCCGATGTGGCGCAAGGCGTGGCGCAATACTTGTTTGGTAGTTTCAGCTTGGCACAAGAGTCGTTTTGAGGCATTGCGCTACGCTGTTTAAATAGCAAATGCATTAGCGCTCATATGTGCTTCCATAGGCGTTCTGGTCTAAAAAGGAAGGCGTTCTGAGGTGCACTGCTGGCGCGTCGCTATTTTGAGAAACTAAAATAGATTTTTCATTAGACCAAAACAAACCCGGTCTAAACTCCGGCGCAGAGTTGCGCCTCGCTTACACACTGCTTAATACACACAAGAGAGCAATAGGCAAATATCTTTACATATGAAAAAAATTAAATATTAAGGATATATAGGATATAATAAGAATAGATATAGGATATAAATATAAAGGATTAAAATATTACAAAACATACTATTTTCTAGCCTACATAAATATGAAAAATCACTGCTTTTATGTCTTCTTCATCTCGAAAGGCTTTTTCAGTTCATTCATAACAATTTGCTTTTGTATAATGTTATTATTATTAGCAGTATTATTTATTATATCCATATTTATATTTGTTTTATTAAAAGCAAGCTTAAATTTGCCCACCTGTCAGGTTTTAGACCATATGGGGCACAGCATGTGTTTTAGGATACAACTCAGGTTTTTGAGCACACTTCGTTAATATTGTTCATTTATTCGTTTGCTGGAAATTAGAACTGAATTTAGAAATAGTTTTGAAACGAATATTTGCGCTTAACAAACGCAATTAATTATTTATAGACTAATTAATGTCTGTGTGTAAAGGTTTCCTTATCCAAGAGCGAAAGTGAAAGTGATCCATTATCTCTCATTCTTACTCAGTAGATGCACTGTTTAACAGTTTTCTGTTAAAAAAAACTGTTAACTGTTTGCTAGTGAAATGCTCAGTTTTTCCACTTAGACTTACTTTATGTCCTGTAAATAGCAAATGCACTTATGGCGCGACACAGCTGGCTCTTTAAGGGAATGGGAGATGAGACTCTGATTGGTCTGATTGGTTCTCCAAACACGCCTATAACTCATTAAGAAAATAAACTCAACCCTTTTAGACCATGCACCTTGGCGCAAAGCGGATTTTCCCGTCCGTAAATTAGCAAAAATGCGTTCTGAAACGCCCTAAAAGCGTTTGCGCCCTGCTTTTTGTGCTCTGCGCATGGACCGTCAAAATAGAGCCCTAAATCTTTTCAAATGAATCTTCCAGAGTCATGAAATAATTTTTGATCCTGACAGGACAACTCAAGGATTTTATGTTTAATCGACTTAAATTTGTAAAAGCTAGCAAGTTAACTTAATTCCTTCATGTTATCCTAACACAAAATTTATTGTGTAGAACCCAGCATTTTTTAGAGTCTTTGGAATTTAAGAACACTGGTTAACAAGATTCTGAATTTGGCTGAAAATAACATGATCGACAGATCATATCTTACCAATAGTATCGAAATAAAATATCCATTCTTAAAAATATGCTTATCTTTTTGCACAAATATTAAATTCTGATTATGAAAAATGACTAACCATTCACACAGATAGTCATAACCTATCTGTACACTTATACACTGATGAAACATGACCAGCAGTTTTATATGTAACAGTTTGATGTCAAACTTATTTAAAAAGAACATAAATTACACAATTCTTGAGTTATTTGGGGGGACAACTCAATTATTTTATGTTCAATCCACTTACATTTGTAAAAACTAGCAAGTTAACTTAATTCCTTCATGTTATCCTAACACAAAACATGAACAACAGTTTTCTAACAAATATGTTTACTCTAGTTTCTATTTAGCATTGAATTTAAAGTCTATCAAATGTGATACTATTAATGTTTTTGCAGCTAGATGGTATGAGGTTCGCAATCTTCAGCCCACGACTCCCAAAATAACAATGCCAGTGACTTGCAACCCCCACTGTCCTCGAAGGTGGTTCTAAATATACATTGCATGCAATGACCAACACACACAAACAGCTCAATATAAACATGAGCATAAATATACATGGTGCCGTAAAATTTATCTTATAAAACTGGACTACCTGGCAAAATTAGTTGAGAATGATTTGATCACACTTTATTTTGATGATTTGTTTGTTGAATTTAAGTTACATTGCATCTACATGGTAACTAATTCTCATTAGATTATCAGTAGACTGTTAAATTGGTGTTAGGGTTAGTGTCAGTTGACATGTACTTGCAAAGTTTCTTATAGTCAGTTAAATGTCTATTGAAGGAGCAGTATCATTCATTCATTCATTTTCTTTTCCGCTTAGTCCCTTTCTTAATCTGAAGTCGTCACAGCAGAATGAAGCGCCAACTTATCCAGCATATGTTTTATGCAGTGCATGCCCTTCCAGCTGCAACCCATCTCTTGGAAACATCTATACATACTCATACACTACGGACAATTTAGCCTACCCAATTCACCTGTACCGCATGTCTTTGGACTGTGGGGAAAACCGGAGCACCCGGAGAAAACCTACGCAAACGCAGGGGGAGCATGCAAACTCCACACATAAATGCCAAATGACCCAGCCAAGGCTCAAACCAGTGACCTACTTGCTGTGAGGCGACAGCACTACCTACTGCGTCGCCGGAGCAGTATCAACAGATATTAATAAGAGAGTCTACTAATGCTCAAATGGACCATGAAAATAAAGTGTTACCAATCATTCTGTTGAATACAAATCATTTTAAAGGTAATTTTACTAAATTTAATAATAATAATAATTTCTCACATTTATATGGCCCTTTTTGGACACTCAAAGCACTTTAGACATTCGGGGCAATCTCCTCATCCACCACCTTGTGTACTAAAAATATCCTCAACTCATTTAACATAGAAAGGAAATGTTTTACATATGAATTCTAGATGAACAAATGCCTGTTCATACCAAATATGTCAGGGTGCAATTTACAACAGGTTTGACACATGGACTAACGCTTGATCCCCTTGAAGGACATCAAAAGAAGATGTGTTTGGGGTGGGGAGGGATTTCAGCATTAAAAAAATCGTTTGCACTCATCTGTACCTTCCTGACTTATAGAACGAATAAAAATAATCGAAAATATAAATAAACATTTCACCAACCCTATAACGGTTCATACCATTCTCATGAGTGAACACATTCAGTCAGCTGTCTGAAACCAGGAGATGTAGACTAACAAAAGACTTTTCTTGTACTATATGTTTGTATTTACATATGAATAAAGTCAAATTAGACTCATAGAGTGTATATGAATACGCCTTTGGTCGTAAATGAAAGTTAAACTGTAAAACAGTAAGTGCATTCTTTCACATTTGTTTATCGGTGAAGGGGTGCAGGCTTGTCACTGTTCTACAAAACAGTTTTGTATATAAACAGTACACTGTAAAACCCAACAGTCAACTTTATTAAATGAAATGAGTGTAGTTAACTCAAAATTTACTGAAAGTTAATTCTACTTATTTGAAAAGAGTTGAACTCAGTGTTGAAGGTAATTAGTTAATTAAATACCTCATTACTTCAATTTAAAGTTCACAGTACTCATATAGATAAGTTTTTAACTCAAAAGGCTTGTAGCAATCAGTTTCCTCAATCGGTTTGAGTTGCCTTAACTTATTTAGTTTTACAGTACTCAGTTGGTTTGAGTTCTCTTCATTTATTGGGTTTTACTGAGCTCAAATTGTTTCTTTTACTTAAACGGATTAAGTTCACTGTAATCGTTTATGAAATTAAATGGTTTGTTGCAATCGGTTTCCTCAAACGGTTTGAGTTACCTTAACTTTTCGGGGGTTACAGTGTAGGTTGTCTTTGAGAATCAGACAACAACTCAATATTTAAAATAGCTTATTAGAGGTCACTAGGTCAAAATCCACACATTACAAAAACAAGACGAGATGTAAAAATTTTAAATATATGAAATTGGTTCACTGAAGCTCTCCAACACATTCATAAAGACCATAAAGTAAAAATATTATAAAAACTTTATTCTATGGCAACGTTTATGGGGCAAAGTGAGGTAAAGTACATTAAATGGAGTTCGTATTTCATAGGTGAATTGAGTCTGAATCTTGGACGGAGTCTGCTTGTGGGTGATTTGTGCCAATGACAGCAGTTGAGTCTATTGATGCATTGTTTGGGTTAGGAGCAATGACCGATACAGGTATGTCAGAATAAACTGCATCTTGGTTGGTAAGCTGTAGTACGATCACATTTGTATAATCTCGACGTCTTGACCTGTGGATTGGAGAGTGAAAACATATAAGCAAGTAGCTGCAAAAAAAGTTAATTTAAAAGTTTAAACTGCAATTATAAAACATACCTCCACCAGAGAATGAATAGTGTAGCTGCCAGACAGAGGATAAATATGCTTGTAACTCCACCTATTGTTGCTATAGTACATGTAGAATGTAAGCAAAGAATAAAAAAATAACAATGAGCACACAGTGGAGAGTATATTTTCAATAAATGAATCTGAGCTGATGTTACTCACATTTGGAGCGAGCAAAACTGGGTTCCACTTTAAAAGAAAATTAAAAGATTTTAATGTGTTAGTGAAAATTCAGCAATAAAACATTCTCATTTTTTTAATTCAAATTACTTTTACTGAAAATTAGGAATGCATGATTTAGTCGAATAAAAAAAAAAACATAAACAATTATTAAAGACTGTTGATATCCATAGAAATGGTAATATCGCTTACATTCCAAACTTCTAAACTTCTGACTTGCTATTCACTGAAAATCCCACTTGCACTTATATTATATACAGGAGTTGGACAATAAAACAAAAACACTGGCCAATTTAATGTTAGAGGTTTCATGGCTGGAGCCTGGTAGTCAACCTTCATTGATTTCACTTTCTTAATTCTTAGTGTAAAGGCTTAATTAGCAAAGTAACAATATAGTTTTGCTTAAAATATTGCAATGCACACAACATTCTGGGTGACCTAGGCCCAATCCCAATTCTATTTTTGTACCATTTTTGTATTTATATTTTTGTACCAGTGCCCTTCTGAAATGATTAAAAGTGCCCCAGCGACAACACCCGCTCTTCAGTACGCACGCGACTACCCCCCCCCCCCCCACACACACACACCACACCCCCGCTCTTCAGTACGCGTGCGACAACTGTACAACCTCAAAAAATGGGTGAATGGGTGTATAAATAGTCCATGAAATCAACGGAAACAGAGACAGCTGTGAATTACAAATCAGTGTATAAGTGGGTTCCGGGTGTGTGCGCGGGGTATGTATAAACTTGTAGTCTTTAGGGACTGTAGTTCGCTCTCAGAGTTAATAGCAAACTACAGTGCCCTCTGTTGGATACAGACAGTCATGACAGATATATTAGAAACTTCCTGGCAGGTATTTCAAATAATAAACCAGGGGTGTCCAAACTCATTCCACCAGTCCTCCAGGACTGAGTTTGGACACCCCTGCTCTACCCCATACTAATGAATCATCGTGGCTCAAAACCAGGCATTTCAGTTTCATTGTCCATCCCCTGTAAGTGTATAATGCTAATGTGTTGCTTTACATGCAAACAAACAAACACACAATGATGTCAAATGCAAAATGAAATGTACTCCAAAAACTAAAATAATGTTTTTTAATGTTCTGTTTTATATTATAAACAGTAGTGAAGAAAATGTATGATCTATTTATAAAGCAATCCCAGGTGCACTTGAGGATGTTGATTACAAAGAATCACAAATATAAAAGATTTGATTTGTTTAACGAGATTAAATGTTCATTGATTATTATTAATCATATTAAATATTGTAATAAACTGTGAGTAATAACCTTTAGAATTAGCTGTCATATTAGCTGTTGTCTTCACAGATAAAGAGATTCCTAAAAAGTGGCAGAAGAAAAATTTTGCATTTATCATTATCATCATCATGAGTAGTATTAAATAAGTCTGTTACAGTGGTGAATCAAAAAGAAATAATGGACATCAAGTCACATAGAGTAGTTCACTCAACAATGTCACAGATTATTTTGTTGTGTTAGTCTTGTTAAACAATAAACATTGTAGATGTCACATGAGGAGGAATGTTTAGAGGAAAAGAGGAGTTTATGAAGGATACGCATAAAGAAATGATCCTTTTATTTAAGATCAGACAGTAAAAATTTGTTTGTATGATTTGGCATTATACAGTGCTCAGCATACATAAGTACACCCCTCACAAATCTCTTTTAAAGTCATATTTTTAATAGGAAGCTATACCATATTACATTTGTGCATATACATTAGATTAGTCAGTACTAAAGCCAAATCCGGAGCTTATCAAACAAAATAATTTACGATTACGGTCCAAAAACCAGTACACCCAAATTTATGTTATGTTATAGAAAAATATTAAATCTAAATTTAAAGAGGAAAAATCAAAAGAAGCAGAAAATTAAAAAAATGTAGCTGAAGTTTTGTATTTTGTAATTTTTATTTGCAATATTTTGCTTGAATTTAATTGTATTATTTTTCAATTTCTAAATCTGTTTGGTGACTAAAATAAGTCATAGGAATCTTCATCCAAGTTTTTAGATGTCATACTGTTGCTTTATATGATACAATATTAACAGGTTTTTTTTTATTGATTGTTGCATGGATGTATAAAGATATCACTTTTTTTTGAGCACATACAGTAACAGGATGTATGATCATGGTTCACATTGTTCCGGTTTGCACCCTTTTTTGCCTTAACCTCAAAGACCTCAGTGCTGAGTTTGACTTTATGTACGATTCTAAGTTTGATTTCTCACAAATACCCAATAACACGAAAATAATTGTAGCTGAAAAGCATTTGGAATTTAACAACAAAAATCTCTTTGAAAGGAGTCAGTGTATATTAGATATTTTGTAAACACAAAAAATAGGCACTAATGCACCAAGAAAATGATGCAAACGCATGTTGGATGTTTCTTTTACTGCTCCAATATATCAGGTCTCAGAGTTTCTACTAACAAACAGATGGTCTAAATCATGTGTGTTTGAGGAACAGGGTTTGGAAACACATGTTCACTTACCAAATAGTTTTATTTGGTGTTGAGCAAATTGTGAATGATTTGGGGTTTTCCACTGTGTACAGTACCTGGTACTTTTGAGTACAACTTTGGTACTAACAATATTAAAATACTAAGAACTGCAGATTACTGATTGACCTGAGAGAATCATAACTATCTGCCTCATATGATTTTTAATATATTCCGTTAGGTCCTTAAATAGTTGAACATCTACACAATTCTAACATTTTTGGTTATATACACCAGCACAATCGATTTGAAATGAAACAACCAAAATATGCTTTAACTGCAGACTGTCAGCGTTAATTTGAGGGTGTTTACATACCTTCCTGTTTTTGAGGCTCACCAATGGTTTACACCTTGTGGTGAACTCTCTTTATTCACTCTGGCGTAGTCTTATACTCCTGGAGAATGCTCTTGATCTATCCAGCTGTTGTAAAGGGTGTTTTCTTCTCTAGGGAAACTTTAGTCATCGTCATTTGATCTTTGGTCATCCACCACAGTTTTTTCCATGGTCTTCAAGGTCTTTTAGTGTTGCTGAGCTCACTGGTGCGTTCTTTCTTTTTAAGAATGTTCCAAAGAGTTGTTTTGGCCATGCCTAATGTTTTTGTTATATCTCTGATGGGTTTGTTTTGTTTTTTTACTCTAATGATGGCTTGCTTGACTGATAGTGACTTTTTGGATCTTATCTTGCGAGTTGACAGTAACAGATTCCAAATGCAAATAGAACACTTGAAATGAACTCTTATCTGAAATGACCTTTTATCTGCTCATTGTAATTAGGATAATGAGGGTATAACACACACCTGGCCATGGAACAGCTTAGAAGCAAATTGTACAATCACTTTTGGTCCTTTAACTAGTGGGAGGCACATATGTAAACTGTAATTCCTACACTGTTCACATAATTTGAATGTAAATACCCCCAAATTAAAGCTTAAATCTTGTTTGATTCATTTCAAATCAATTGTGTTGGTTTATAGAGCCAAAAATGTTAGAGCTGTATCGATGTCCAAAGATTTATGGACCAAACTGTATATAAATGTAAACAATGCTCAGTAAACTCAGTAAAATCAGTAAACAAATAATTTGAAATGACAAAGTTTAGCAAGTGGAGCTAATGTCAAATGTCATGTCAAACAGTAGAAATTTGGCTTAGCACACTTATGTAAACATAGTAATAGCTACAGTAGTTGAAGATTAATGCAAAAATTGTGCAGGGTTACTGATTTGGAATGACACAAGTGTGAGTAAGGAGTGATCTGTATGAATTAGAATGTTAATTTGTAAACGTCCATTAGCCCCATGCACCTTAACCCATCATAGTGAACTGCTTCACCTGTTGTTGTAGTAAAAGAGCTTGACTGTGTTTGTGGTGACGTTGTGCTCTTAAATTGTCTGGTAGCGATGCTGCTGGCAATTGAAGAAGCTGTAATTGCATTTGTTGATGTAATAGGCTCCGCCTCTTTTGTTGTGCTCATCAAAGTTGGCTGGTTGGTAGTTCTTGCTTTGGTTGTGAAAACTTCATTTGTTGTTGTTGGCAAAGTTATATACCCTGTTGCTGAAGTGTGCCATGTAATTAATATAAATGTGGGCCTACCCAAACAAAATCGAAACATACTTGTGTAATATAATAAAACGCGTACCTGTGATTGATGTGCTTGTGCCAGAAATTGTGGGAGTGTTTATTTCTGTTGTGGATGATGTGAACTGGTGATCAGGTCTTGGTGCCTCTGCAGAGGCAAATAAAAATACAAGACATTTTAGACATTATTCTTAGTCTTGGTAAAGTCATAGGGTGGGTGGTATATGGAATTTATTTTCTTTTTAGTGTTTTGCTAAGGTCATTTTTACATTCAAAATCCCTATTCGGTTGAGACTTAACATGTTTTCACACCTGTCTATTTAGTTCAGTTCAATCGCACTACAGTTTGTTTTCCCTCTTGGTGCGGTTCGTTTGGGCAGGTGTGAACAGGGCCAGAGCAAGCTGAACTACCACTCTAGGCAAAGGACGATCACGCTGCCCTTAACTCGAAAGTGAAAGCGGGGGGGTTGGCGAGGGAGCTGACACCGCCCTCTCTATTCTGGTGCCCTAGGCTCAGATATAACTGAGGGCGCGAGTGGTGATGGTAGTGTCGGAGACGCCGCCCTCTCTATTCAGCCGCACTAGGCGCGGATATAACTGAAGACGTGGGTGGTAAGGGGGATGTCACGGACACCATCCACCTAGGTCGCCTCTATGGATGCGCCGGCCCTGGTTGTGAATGTAGCAATTGCATTCGAGTGCGCATCAAAAGTGGGCCAAAAAAGCGTGGCGAGACCTCCATGAAGAAGTGGTCTCAGTTTTAAATGAACCCTGGAGCGCCTATTTCGACTAATCCAGCTGCCGTAGTTCAATGCGCTGTCTCATTTTATAGGGTGTGCAGGAAAAATATTTGTGGACTGCGTTTTATAAAGGGAGTAAATTTACCTGATTGATCGTTGGTAATATTCCCGGAAGTTGTCGCAGTTTAGCTAAATTAATTCACACCTGAAGTGACTTGCGATGCGCCTTCACCATTTGCAGTGCATTAAAACATTGTTTTCCAGGCGCAGCCATGTTTCATTCTTGAAATATATAGTTTATCTAAAGTGATGTACACAAACTATATATCAATCAAAAAGCAGTTTAGGAAATATGTTTAATAACATCTGGCCAATGAGTGATGTGAATTTTGTCACATGTGTGCATTTTGGTTCTTTTCAACTGGTTCAGACCAAAGCAATCAGTGTGGTGTGAAAACGACCTAAAGACGGCAGAAAAATGCTACAATGTATATTTTGTAGACCAAATGAAGTAACATTACTGGATATTCTGCAATAAATCCAGTTCGAATGAAACGCGTTCAGTATTAAAGTGCACAAGATGTGACTACTATACAAATCTCATGATTACGGTTAAATAACTCTTTACACTTCTGTAATAGGTTTCATCTGAAGGCACTGCAATCTTTAAATCAATTAAACTTTAGCCAGTTTTCCATGTGCAGGGCCCAGCGGGCAGACAGCAGTGAACACAATGTCAAACATGTCAACTTAATCACATACAGAATACAGAAGATGCTACTCAAATGCTACTACATTTGAATTTGAGTGTACTTCATTACAAGTATGACCTACTGTATATAGTATGAATAGAATTCAGCTGTACTCCCATTTATGAATGATGTCATATTGCCTCGGGACGGTAAAGTGTCCAATGGATGCATTCTTCAGAATATTGCCAGATATAGTAGGTCATCCAGTTATTGTTTTTGAATACTATGAATTTGACTCACGTACTGTATTTTACATACTATCAAGTCAGAGCTTTCTTTTAACGAGCAGGCTATTTAAATTAGTTGTGTTGAAAAAGAGAGACCCTGTCTAAGTATTTAACTCTATAACAGTTCCAGAGCAAAAACTACAGGTTGTTAGCAAACTCAATAATCCTCTGACAAATCTAATCCCATTTTCACACAATGTTTTCTTGTGTGTTTTGGCTACTGCACATCATGCTACTACCGTGCACGGCTTGCTGTTGAATGCAATTTATTTTGGATGTTGATGTGTTTTCGTTTTAGCAAAGATATAAAATAAATAAATCGAGAGCTATGGGTAGGTTGTGTAAATTGTTACTAATCACTGGCTACTGTAACATGCATCATGTCATGCACTCACTTTCATTTCTGCACTCATGATCTTATTATTTTAGATTTATACACTTACAAAAAGTAAACTACAAATAAATCTTCATTGGTTGACTGTCATTGGGCTAAAGTCAGATCGTGTTGGCCCAATTCATCTTGTAGGATCGGCATTGGGTTGTCGACTGAAGACAGCATGCTCTGACTGGTTATTCAGCAACAAATCAGAGCGCAAGTGTGACAGTGAAGAGACGTAGCAAGTAAACAATTCAAGTCAAGAAGGAACGCAAAGTTGGCTGTAATTTTTCTGCATTCCTCAAATATTTGCAAACAATGTGGATTGTTAGATTATCAGACATATTTGCATGAGCGAGTACCTTCATGGTGAGTGACAATAAATGCAATTAATGTTAATGCTGCGAGTTAAACTTTGTGCTAACTTTCAACGTGAGGCAACAACATAGTTGGGTTTTATTGGCACTAGTTTTTAACGTGTAATGGGCTTAATAAACATGTTAGTCTGATGTTAGTCCCTTCAGAATTGATATGTAGAATCCCAGACGTCAGGTGTTCAAACATCATTCCAAACATTAGTCTCTATAGATAAACTATTAGTAAGTTAATTCCACCAACACCCTGCTGATCTATCAAAATATTGACTGACCAAGCATTGCGACACAGTATCAACTTTTAAGTGTTTGTATCTGTTTGTATGACAATAACAAATTACACATTTCAATGGAGACGAGACAGTCCATGCTGCAGCCCGCAGCTTGATGACGAAGTTGACCAGGTCCGCTTCGTAGTTGACGATCGCCTACACCTCCCCCTACCCTAAACCCAGCCATCACAGTAGCATGGCCGTTGCCTTAGTGGGGTTTAGTTGAAGATTTCCTACACCTCCCTCTTGCCTAAACCCAACCGGTGGGCTACCTTAGTGGGCAGTACAATGTCCGCTACATAATTGACAATCGCCTACACCTGCCCCTACTCTAAACCCAACCGTTACAGTAGGAAGGTCCGCTACATAGTTGATGATCACCTAAGTCATCAAGCAGCGGACTGCAGCGAAGACATCTTGGAGAAGACAGACAGACAGGAAGTAATTACAAAAAAAAAAATTACATACTTTTGTTTTTGGGGTCAGCTGTAAAGCAAAAACAATGAAATCACTACATTGATCAAGTTTAATCTTTAAAGAATGTGAAACAAAACAAGGTAAACATATCAGAAAAAAATAGAAATGTGGTTTACTAAAGCCTAGTTCACATTACAGGATTTTAAACATCAGCAGATCGCTGTGCCGTTCACACTATACATGACTTGATTTTGTGTCTTCTCTGTGTTGTTCACACTACGTGACACTACGTGAATGATCCACAAGAGGGATCAACACACTACATGACCTGACAACAACTCATTCCCCCACAGCTCATTCAAGCTACCAAACCACAGCCAATGAAATTTTGAGGGAGGAGTCGTCAGAAAAAACTGAACACTATTGGCTGCTTGTGTGCTCATTACATCACTGACAGCGTTTCAAGCATTCAAGGAAGCATTTAAAAACATCGTCAAATCAGCTGATGCATCAGCGGATTAATCACTCATCTGCAAGGTTCGAGTGGATAGATACACAGAGAGTTTTTAATTTTTGAAATTCTAGATCTCTTTGAAATAAAACTAACATATCTATAACACCCTGCCGCTTTCTAACTATCAGTGTATTTTTTTCTGACATTGTTATTTTTTTTAATTACAAAACAGTAAAGAACTGAGCATTTTTCTGCCTTAAATTACCATATTCATCAGAATGACTGCATTCATGTCATACTTTTCGCTGTGACTTTAAATATGTGTGCATTTTTTTGCCTAACAACTTCCTGCTAACATAAAACTTTCTGATGGCAAAAACATCAATTTACTTCAGATATCTCTCAAAACAGCATATTCTGTGCCGTGAAATAGCTCCTGTTTGAAAGTGAAAATGAAAGCCAAGATCTTTAAGTGTTTTAGTATCTTAACTACATATTTATAGGCTGTATTACCAAAAAGATTATACTTTTAGGGTAATGGTGTCATTAAATATGATGCCAGACATTCAAAGCTTAATTTCAATATTTCAATAGAGGCTTTGAATGTAAATATGTTGTGACAGTATGGCGTTTTATATGAGAATGGTCAGAATGACCAGTATGGTAATTCTAATAGTTACAGAATTCTAGTTCCACTGTTAATATATCCTACTCTCATGTCTGTGCTAACGCAGAATAAAGCGAGTGCATCGATGCCCATTCTGACCAATCACAGATGTTTCTGTTGAGCTCCTGAGCACACAGGCATTCAGCTCATGCTGATATGCTCTCTCATTGGCTGCAGCTCGTCACTACATCTGACCACACGTGGGGTTGAGTCGGCCGACTGCTCTGGAATATTCAGCATGCTAAATAATGGATTTCCGTCTGCGAGGTGTCGGCGACGCGTCAGTGAGCCTCGTTGATGCGTTGTTCAGTAGTTCACACATAAAGAGCTGCGAGCGCTGTGCACCCACAGATTTCTTCCCGGTCACAGGCCGATCTGTCGGCAAGCTCGTTAACTTCCAAATCGGGCTCAAATCAGGCTTAAAATCCTCTAGTGTGAACTAGGCTTAAGGGTGTAGTCAGTGAGTGGTGCCAGGGCATTGTTAAGCACATTAAAGCCATTGTTAACCATGACCTTGGCTAAACTGAACATCCTTTGTGAAGCATTGCCAGGTTACCTGCCTTATACTGAGGGCTCTATCATTGTTTTTGTTTGCCACATGTGTAACCTGTTTGGCTTGACCTCGGTCTTAACTATAGATTAGCCAAGTAATGAATTGCTGAGCTACATTGGTAATGAAAGATATTGCGCAAATATTTGGCTAATTATGGTCTTTGCAAAACAATCCTAAGTGGTTTTAGGATGTCATTTAATAGAATGTTTTGTGGTTTGAAATGTTTAATGAGTGTAGCTTGTTGCTTACTGGACAAATTTAAAGAAGTTCATAGGTAAGGGTTTATATACAGTATACTACTTGACATTTGCCAAGTATTTTTCTATCAGCTGATAAGTTATTTTAAATTCTATTCCTTTAAAGGTTATTTGGATGGTTATCCAAGTTATGTGAATGTTTGTAAGTTCTATATAGATACATAAAAGAATGCTGAGAAAGAGATAGAGAATGTTTGATAGAACAAAAATAGAAGTTAGGCTAAAGTCATTTTCATACAAATATTTATTAATAAATCAGTATAGAGAATACATCAAAGAGTGTGTGCTATTATTTGTTTATTTTAGAGCCAGTGCGCAAATTTCAAGCATCTTGGGCCATTTTGTGCATAAGTGCATGATTTCCTGTTGATTTCCTTTGCAAACATTTACAAAGTAGCAAAGTGTTTAGGCCTCGATGGTAAAATAAAAAAAAAAAATACTATGTATGAAAAAAACTATGAACTGTTTAAAATCAGCGGCTTTCATTATTTATTTATTAACTAAAAAGACTTTGGCAAGAATAATGGAGCCTGCACAGGACAATCAATCAATACATCAATCAATGAAAAAGTGATAAATTTAGCCAGATTAAACAAGGGAATGGTCACACCATCTCTGTGGTTCTGCAAGTACTCTGGAAAAAAAAAAAAGTTTCTTACGTATGCATACAAGAGGAAGAGCTGATGTCCAGGATGGCTTGTCCTTGTCATGTTCTTTAAGGCAGCGAATCAGGTTGGATGTTCCTACTTTCCTCACGTAGCCAGCAACGCACTGAATACGAATAGAGGAATTAAGTGAATAATTCCCAGTAACAGGTTCAGTGTTGAGTGCCTTCTTCGGAGGTCCACATAAATCTGAGATAAAAAAAGACTAAAATAAATACATATGCAAACAAAGAAACTAATAGATACATCACAGTCATCAACGTATTTGCATAAATATCAAAAATGATTTCTTTCTGAAAATAAATCCATTAACTTTTTCTTTAAGGAAAAGATCTTATTCTAATAGGTGGGGAAATATCTAGGACTTAGCATAATGAAACGTTTGTTAAAAAGAACATTATTTTAGAAGAACGTTTGTGTACTTATGTGTTAATGAATCACAATCAAATCAAGAAATAGTTCCAGTTCTCCAGAGTTTTACTGCATCTGTACAGTGTCAATGAATTCTGGATTTCTTTGCTGGATTTTCAATGCCTAAATGCAGCAGTCACAGTTTAGTGCAGTACAGATTAGAACTCTCTAGCTCTAAAAAAGATCCCCTTTTTTTAACACACCCAAACTAGCAACGTCCAGGCAAGTGTGTTGAAACAAGTTGGAGCTAAACTCCCTCACATAATTACTTACTGTGAATAAAACATTTGTTAAAAAATTTGACCTTCGCAAAGTAAATCATTTTTGCTGTTCTTGGTTTTCTGTAGCACTTATGTAAGCTGCATTCAATTCAGCGGTTAAGAGTTCGTGTACAAATTACGTAACTATATGGCAAGCCTTTTAAATGTTAAGAACATCTATTTTCATGCTACTAGTACTTATACGTTAGCAACTAGTCCTCATTCTTTAAATCTCATTGCCTTCCTAAAAGATACTAGCATTTATTTATTAGTAACTAGTACTGTTTAAAATATACTAGTTCTTCTTCTATCTCACATTTTAGCCATTGACTTCTATGGAGAGCTGCCATTTTATGTATTCCAAATGTAATTAGAACCTACTTTCTGCATACTAGTTGTTATACATATGGTTGATCATCTGTGTGTGTGTGTAATCAATGTGAAACAGCAACCAGTGTGTGCGAGGTGCATGCTGGGAGTTGTAGTTCGTAAATGTGGCATGTGTGTAATTCTCCAACAATCCGCAGTAGCTAAATCGCTAGTGACTATAACAATGTACACAATAGTTAATAACTCTGTCCTCACAGAAATCCACAAAGATGTTTTTATGCTTTAAATATTCTTTAAAAAGTTAATTATTAGTTTATAATCGATGTAAGTTAAATGTTCTGAAGAGACACGGTTGCTTTAAAAAAAATATAAACATTTAATTTGGGTTTTGAATAGCCACACTTAAATACACTGTAAAAAATAAATCCGTAAAATTTACTGTAAAAAAAAAACGGCAGCTGTGGTTGCCAGTACTTTACCATTAAAAGTACGATACAAACCGTAAAAGTAATTTTTCAATTTTACGGTAAACTACCATATTTCATTCATTTACAGAGGTAATATGTCTGTATTTTGAATTACCAACATCTACACATCTTTTGTTACACAGTTATACACGTTAACACAGCCATATGCAGGAGGTGATGAGTAAGTTACATAATGAACAATGCTCATCACAAATAACTTTTCCCACAAGCAGCAAGGTGTATCAGTATCAAGAATGTGCTCAGTGTCATTCACACAGCTACAAAGCACCAGTATGGTAACATGCATAAAATTAAAGTCATGAAATAAACATTGTTTATCAACATTAGATGTAACATAAATCTCTAATGTACATAACTGATGGAGAAACAACTAAAAAGATCTCTAGTAATGTAAAAAAAAAAAGTATAAAAAGTGATGTGCCATACAGGAAATTCTAGGAAAGTCAGTTTACGGTTATTCGCTGTATATATTAAGGAAACATACCGTTAACCAGGTTACAGATTTTTACTGTAGCATTTTTACAGTTTTTTATCATTGAAATCACAGCAATTTATGTACATACAGTAGCATTTTATCTTTTATAAAATGAGATTTTAGCCTAACATATTGAACAAACTGAGCACCGTATAGCTACAACAAACTGTGTAACCTGTTGATAAATATGTAGTTTGATGCTACCATTTGAGGACTGACAACCATTCGCACAAATTCGCTGGTCAAATACTAGGCTGTAATTGCATTTGGCTTTGCCAAAAAGTGACATAAGCTAGGCAAAATATATTTCTAAGAAATTTGATTTTGATGTTCTGCTGATACATTTCATTTATTAACATTTAGTCATAATATAGCCACAAAATGATTAATCCTTACAATGTTAATAAGTCAAAACCCTGTCTGTGCTCTCAAGCAAATGTTGGGACAAGAATAAAGTTTAAGTACAGAGGCGTATGGCATTCCCCCTCTAATGGAATGAGGAAACAGTGAGACTATTTGTAATCATTTATCATTCCTATAAAAATATAACTGAAGCACCAGAATAGTGCTTCAAAATAGATCAGAATAACCTTAAAATAGTTTTATCACCAGCTGCATTAATGGTTTGCTGACTAATCTCAGTTGTCAGTGACTTTTTGAGGCTGTCAGTTTGATGCCAGTTTCCTATGGTTGGTGTGACAGCGATTTTTCTGAACTTGAACACACCAGAAAAACAATCACAAGTGCACTTGAAGGGGAAATGATCTATTGGGGCAGAAGTCCTCAACTCCTTTCTTTGAGATCTAATAGCAGCTCCAATAGAGTTCAGCTCCAACCTTGAAAAAATGCAACTGAACCAATTAATAAGAACCCAAAGCAGCACTTGACAATTAGAAGGGTGTGTTTGATGATCATGGTTGCAACTGAAATTTCTCTTACAAATTTAGGCATGCCAAGGTAGATATGCCGGGACAGGGTTGGTGACCACTGTATTAGAGGGTTAATTTATGCCAAAATGGAAATTCATCCTCATGTTGTTCCGAACCTATAAAACTTTATCACAAAGGATAATGAAAAATTATTTTTTATAATCAAGTGTTCTGAAGGAAGATGTCCAAAAAAAAAGACATTTAATTAGGGCTGGGTGATATGGCAAAAATGTGATCTTGATAATTCTTTTCCATATTAAACGATAAGGATATATATTTCAATATAATTTGTTAATGCTTCCAGCTTTAAAAAGTATCCCGACAATTACTGAAGCCACAAAGATTAGATGCTTCATTTAATAACATTTTAACGTATTGTTTGTTAACAAGTTTACACATTATTCAGATTTTTTTGGAGATTTTCTGTAATATAATTATAACATACATTGAAGCTGCAAGCAGCGATGAAAGGCTTAGGATGACAGAGAACAGTGGCCAATAATAATTTAAGCTGATATAAATAAAAAGCCTGAGAAAAATCACCGGTCAGCAGGTGGCGCTATGACTGTGCCTCAATATTGACATCTAGATGTCTTCAGGAAAGGAATTTCATCAAACCCGTGAATTTTCAGGCAGATCAGACATTGTTTGGCTAATTTATAAGTACTTTCCCCTCCATGGCATAGCACTGAACTTTGTCAGTCCATCACGGACACAGTTCTTTAACGAAAATTTTATATTAGAGATCTTCGCGGCTCTAAATTTGTATTCCCGCTCCCGCCTGCCCTCATTCAAACGCATACACATATAGACAGCACCAAACAAGAGACATACAGCATCACGCTCTCTCTCATTCACACACATACACACACACACACATAAACAGCATCCACGCGGAGACGCGTGTGCTTGGGAATGATATTGTTAGACCGCCCACTCCCGTTCAATTTACATCAGGGTAACAGACCATGCTTTTTTCGGAAATTTATTCCCACACCACAAGAAATCTGGTCAGGTCCCGCGGCTCTCGCAGTACAGCCTACCTGCAGACTCTATATCTTCACAATTTAGCATAACAAAAGTCTTTGGACTAAACTAATAAACATGGATTCGATGTGATGAAATTTGTAGGAGGGGTTTGTTATAATGTAAGACATGTAATTTCATGTTGCCAGCAGGTGGCACTACAACTGTAACTCCATATTGGCATGTAAGCATGTTCAACTTCCTGTTTCGGAACACGCTCTTCGACGAAAATTCTAGATTTTCACAATTTAACATCAACAAGGCCTTTAAATAACAATAACCAATTTTGGTGTATATCTGATCAAATCCCTAGGAGTTAAAATACAACCGCTGGAAATGGCAAAAACTGCACTTTTTTAGCAGAGTAAGGTAAAAATATTTGACTTTCTGTTGGGTTTGTGATTTCGCTCCAAGATATTTTGTAGGTATTGGCATGTTTGATGTATGCCAATTTTCGTACGAGTACGTGAAGCGTAGCTCAAGGATAGAGCAAATGAGCATAGGTGGTGCTGTCGAGTCATTTTGCCACACCCACTTCTGAAACCTATAACAAACGTAAATCTTTCCTTTCTGGGGCCTGTGCAAAGTTTCATGAGTTTTCGGGCATGTTTAGACCCACAAAAAGGCGATACATTCTTGAGAAGAAGAAAATAAAATGGAGCAATTTCAATTGGGTCTACGCACCATTGGTGATCGGTCCCTAAATATAAAATATAACATTCTGAAGAACTTTAACTGATAGCATACTGTATACAGTACACAAACCAAAATATTCTTAATGCGTTTTCTAAAAATCACTAATTACAGAATTATTTCAAAATAAATGTTTTACTTAATTAAAAATGGTAAAAAATAGTTATCATTAAAATAAACAGCAGTTTAACAGCAAATACTGCTGGCGGGAAAGTAAATCGAGCTTGCTAAACGATACTGTATGACGTAGCTTATCTATAATATCATCACAATAACAGATTCCTGTTGTTGTCTATGTCTGTGTGTGATTGGCTCTTAGATCAATATAGAGGAAAACTGTCCATAGCTTAATATAGTCATTCATTCATTTATTTTATTTTCGACTTAGTCCCTTCATTAATCAGGGGTCACCACAGTGGAATGAACCGCCAGCTTATTATAGTTATCAACATAAATTTTTATCGCAATTCAATATGATAAAATTTATCGGGCCAGCATAACATATAATCTGGGGATTTATTCAGATCTAAACATTGATCCGTGAACATAAACAAAAGCATATTTATACTATTTGACTTGTGAGAACAAAAGTCATTGGATTCATATGGATTGAATGTTTTGAAGCCTCAGAATATTGGGAGAGCAAACTTTCAATGGAGACCGAAATCTCTCAGATTACATGATGAATGATGACAGCTGTTTTTGCAGTGCAAACACCCTACATCTATGATCCCAAGCTATTTGTTTTGGACAAGACAGTGCAGAGATCTGTTCAAAAGCAAGAGAATTGTGTTTCAATATGGAGAGGTATGGCATTTTTTTACTCTAATGGAATGAGGAAACTGTTTAAATAATAATTTATTATACGCATTAAAATAGCACAAGAAACCTAAAAATCACTTTCTCACTCACTGCCCTGACGGTTTAGTGACTCATCTCATTTTCAAGCATGCCTCAATGCATTCACACACAGGGGACAGCATAACTCTTTTTTATTGCCAAGGAAATATGTAATGCATTTGTGCAATAGCATCTTTCGCAATCTGAATCATCCTGAACCATGCTGCAATGTAGTGTACTACATCCTGACTGATACTGATACTAATATGAGATGTGTATACCTAGGGTAAATAAATACAGAGACTTCTCACTGTTGTATAGTTATTTTCAGCAGAACACAAAAGAAAGCGAGTTCATATTTACTACATACAGTTGAAGTCAGAATTATTAGCCTCCCTTTGAATTTTTTGGGTTTTTCAAATATTTCCGAAATGATGTTTAACAGAGCAAGGAAATTTTCACAGTATGTCTGAAAATATTTTTTCTTCTGGAGAAAATCTTTTTTGTTTTATTTTCACTAGAATAAAAGCAGTTTTAATTTTTTTAAAACCATTTTAAGTCAGAATTGTTTGCCCCTTTGAGCTATATATTTTTTTAAATAATTTACAGAACAAACTATCATTATACAATAACTTGCCTAATTACCCTAACCTGACTAGTTAACCTAATTAACCTAGTTAAGCCTTTAAATGTCACTTTAAGCGGTATAGAATTGTCTTGAAAAATATCTAGTCAAATAATATTTACTGTCATCATGGCAAAGATCAAATAAATCAGTTATTAGAAATGAGTTATGAAAACTATTATGTTTAGAAATGTGTTAAAAAAAAATCTTCTCTCTGTTAAACAGAAATTGAGGGGAAAAAATAAACGGGGTTAATAATTCAAGAAGGAAATTATTATTTTTTTAACTTTAAATAGCACATTTAATGCAATTGGATCTAAACCAGAGTTTGACGGATGTTATGACTGGATAAAGTGTTTTTAAATCCTTATGAACAGACTCCATTCATCATGGCTGCATTTATTTGTGCATTTCTGCTACAATTTTACTGTTCAATTATTTATATGGAATTAATTTAAGATTTAAGCCTCTTTCGTATAGATTAAATATTAACAAACTCTGAACAATAACCACATTTTTCAGTCGCTTTGAAGAAACCGAAACCATAGTGATACAAACCCCCTACAAAGGCTTTTTAGTATTTACAAATGCTAATCCATGAATCATCACCATTGTTTTCTGAATTGAGATATCAACCTCAGTATAAAGAATAGAGTTTGAAACAATATCTATAAGAGTGCATAATGACAAAACTTTAAATATAAGGGGTCTCTTATAAGTATTTATACCTGCAGTTTCTGAATAACCAGTTAAAAAAACATATATATTTCAAAGCTTGAATAAAATGCATTTACTGAATATCATGCATAACACTATTGTAATATCCCACAGAACTGATTAAAAGCTGTCGCCTACGCGTCCATTATCTGTCTGTTTTTTCTTTTAATCCCACTAGGCTATAGAAAAATATGAAATATGCGAACTCATTTAAATACAAGTTCAAATATTTAGAAATATCGAATTGCATATAATATAAAGATTATTTCTAATACCAACAGGCTGTCTCAGAAATGAGTTTATTTCGTAATCTACTTTCTTTCTCCAAGACAGTTTCGTTTTATCTATTTATTTATTTATTTGTTTGTTTATTTTACTGCTAGGCTATTAGATAAACAACCAGAGAACGTGCATACAGTAACATTGCAATTTATTATGCTAAAAGAACGGTTAACGTGTCAAGCATAATAGATGTGCGATATGCAAGAACACTCGACGGCTTTACTTAATAGCCAATATGAATATTTCCCATAGCATAGCATATTGTATTCCACTTACCGCTTGCTCTTGCAATATTATGCTGATACGCGCTCGTCACGAAAATCAATATAACCAGCATATACATGTCCACTTGTCCCAGAGAATCCAGAGGGAACACCGACGATTAAATCCTTGCGAATGAGCATAAGAGAAGCACCAAGTCTTTTCAGTGGCTTCAGTTTCCTTCATCATCTTTCACTTTCACTTATGGGCGAGTCAATGTGCGCATACAGCACGTGTGCAGTTTCTAAAGGAAGTAGTTTGACGTTTAATGATATTTGTGCTGCACAGGGCTTGATTTATAGAAAAAAAAATTACCATGTATATGAATTAAACAATTTAATCGCATAAAAGTATATAATAGCACCAATATGATATCAGCTGCATATTATTCACAATATTATTCTCTATATTCTCTACACAAGCTAGTCTTCTTAAGGTTGTTTATATGGTACTGAATTTATATTTTAGATTTAATGCATAAACTAATATGAATCGATTAAACTAATTTAATCTAATGCTAATTAAATCCAGTTAATCCATATGCTACAGTGGTTCATAAAGTAGGGGTCGGGAGCCCCCAGGACAATGTAAGGGGGTCGCTTGGTGATTTAAAAGTGCCATATTTTATCCATAACCCACTGAAGATAAAAATTGTTTATTTACAGCCTTTCATTTTTTCCCCCTAATAGATTGCAACCCTTGTGGTGATTTACATTAACGTTATATTACAGACTGCAATAGCGTCAGATGCAGCAGATTGATTATTAATCCACCAGTTTAAACTTTCTAGCACAATTAGTCAGGCACGGGCACACATAGGGCTCAACCTGTGCAGTGCACATGCCCTTCTTAGTCTTGGATAGAAAGTTCCTTTCCAAGAAGTGCCCCCGCTCCAGTTTAGTTATGCTTTTCATTGTTTTTATATACAGAATCCACATTTCAATATGTTAAAATCACACTGCGCACTTAAATTATTGAAACTCGAACATAGTATGAGATAAAGGTAGCCTATTAAATCTAATGTGAAATATTTAAAATAGTTTTCCTCTTTAATATTCAAGGCTCTTTTTTAAGGTTATGTCATTATTGTTGTTATATATGGAACTGAATCCATGTTTTTGCTGTGATTAATACACAAGATGCGCAAGATTTGTTTTTTACATTTATTGTTTTTTATAAACTGAATTCATATTTATAATAGGCCTATGTTGAATACACTGTATGAATCTGAGACAATTTGACATAAAGGTACCAAACTAAATGTAAAAACAATCTTAATATTATTCCATATAATGTGCAAGGCTTTTTATGATTATGCATTTAATGTTTCATAAATATGATACTGAATACATATTTTTGTGGTTTAATGTAGTGTATTTCAAATATAAAAATAGATTGTTCCTTATAGGGAATAATATTATGAATATTCCACAGTTGATTTAGTGGCTTTAATCTGTGTCAGAGTTTAATTAACTTAAGTGTGTGTAGTTTATTCAACGTATCACAAATATATATTCAGTACCATATATAAAAACAATAAAGGCATCCAAACATCTAATCAGATGTGTTGTGGCAAGTTGGAGCTTTGCTTAGCCAGGACACCGGCCCTCCAGGACTGAGATTGCTGACCCCTGCTGAAGAATCTTGGGCGTCAGAATCAACAGCCAAAGTGAAACTGAATGGACAGAGCGCGCAGGTTGAAGCTTCAACCCAAATTAACCACAACTAAACCAACTAATCAAGATTTTGTATGATAGAAGCCTCCAGGCAGGTGTATTGAGGCAAGTTGAAGCTAAATGAGGACACCGGCTCACAAAGACCAAGATTGGTGACCCCTGGACTAATGAATATTAAATTCCAAACCAACCTTACGGTTGTGTTTATAGGGCACCACCACACTTCCAATGAACTTTGTAATAGTAACCTTGATGTAGTCTATATTTAACTTAAACTTTGTGAGCTGTAACCTAAAGTCAAGTCTTTACCGTGTAATGATGCTCAAGGCAGATGTTTTTCCTGTAGGTTAAATGTTAACTTAGAACATGTCAATCACAACTCGATATGCAAATACAAAGGGCGGGCCCTTAGCATGGGACACCATAGCAATGTTATAGGTTTGCTTATTCACCTTTCAATTAAAAAAAACTTTCTAAAATTTTGGTGGATTAATTTTCCTGAGAAACATACTGAATGCTTTATTGTACATTTCACATTGTGTTCTTCTTCCTCCTCCTTTTTCATCTCTTCCAAGTAGTTTACTTCTACTTGACCTCATCCTGTCTGTGCTATTTTTCCCCATCCTCATACTCCTTGTCATCCCCCCCTCTCTTCCTCTCCTGCTCGTGCTCTTTCTCCTCATCCTCCTCTTCACTCTTTTCCTCCTTGTCCTTATGCTGTTTCTCTTCATTGTCATTCAACTCCTCCTTGTCCTTTTTTTCTTCATGCACCTGACTAAAGTACTTGTTTGTTCTTGTAGTTGTAGTGTCTCCTGATGACACTTACATAATTATACTCAGAGCCTACAAGCTACTCTTGCAGAGTCAAAAGATATCTTGTCCCTTTTGAACACTAAGTGATAAGTTTTTTAGTGCTTCAAAAACATCACTGCACAGTGCGAACTGTAAAAATAGCTGTTAAGTGGCCACATTCTACTGTAAAATTGCTTTTCCAGGTAACCATTTACTTACCAGGGTGTTCATAAGATTGTAATGAAGTCTGTCATGTCATAAATGTGAATGGGATTTTATGATTGCTTATGGCTCTCATTTGCTCAGTTGCCATTCTATATGTCAAGAAGATATTATGAACTTGACATTACAACGCAATCTCACGGCAATTTGTAACTTTTTGATTTAGTAGCTAATTCGTATGAATTCGTAAGATCTAGTTAGAACAATTTAGTACGATTTGCTCATCACTCAATGACGGTTGGGGTTAGGGGTGGGGTTAGGTGCCATGCCTTCTTTTTAAAATCATACGTTTTCTTAAGACTGAACTCGTACGAATTCATATGAATTAGCCACTAAACTGACAATACGTGAAATACTTACGTTTCCTCGTGAGATCAGGCTGGATATTACCATGGCAACATAAGTTGTCATAAATAAGTCATAAACACGATTGTCATGAGGCTTTATAAGTGTCATGAGTATTTTTCTGATCAGGTTTTTCTGTGGAACAAACAGTACTTGTCACAAAAATGTAAAAAAAAAAAAAGTATTTTAAAAAGTACTTGATTAATATCTAATGCAAATTTACTTACAAATTTAGCTTGTACCACTGCAGTTCAGGTATTATATATATATATATATATATATATATATATATATATATATATGGCGGTGTTATTATATTCATGATATTTATAATGGCTTCATGACAACCATGTTTATGCCAGATTTATGACAAGTGTTGTTGTCTTGGTGATGTCAAGTTGTCTTGACAAAGCCAAAAACATGATGTGATTTATATCAGGTTTGTTGTCTTTGCAATGTTATCTTTGCATTTAAAATGTCATAACTGAGCGAACGCAGCAGATACCCTTCCAACCACAACGCAACACTGAGAAACACTCATACACTTATGCATTCACACACATACACTCCGGTCGATTTAGCTTATTCAGTACACCTGTACCACATGCCCTTGGGCTGTGGGGAGAACCGAAGCACCCGGAGGACACCCACACAACCACGGGGAGAACATGCAAACTCCATACAGAAAATGTCAACTGACCCAGCCGAGGCTCGAACCAGCAACCTTCTTGCTGTGAGGTGATCATGATACCCACTACTCCACCTGCCATCAGTTATATAAATAAATAAAAATAGAACAAATTTAGTCTCAGCAGAGGATCATTAAACTTCACAAACATCATCAGCAGATTCACTTATTATTGTTAACAGAGTTAACAGAAGCTTAGATTTTATTTAGTTTGGTGTCACCACAATAGAAGTCAGTGAGTGCTTTAGTTGGGTTTAACCTTCTTAACTTTACTTTTTCACTGGTGGTTATGACTTAGTTTATAAAACACTTTTGTTAAAGCAAAACTCTGTAAATGTAATGTCGACAGGATTCAAACTGAGTGTTTTTTTTATAAGATAGGATGGTGAAACAGGCAAGGCTTAACAGGAGCAAAACAGTATTATAAGGGATAATCCAATAGTCAGGCAAAGGTCAATGAATCAAAAATCCAGTCAAAAATTCAAACACAAACAAGGCATGAAAAGGGAACAGAGATCAAGGAACTAAAAACAAGAAAAAAGGCTCAGAAATATCCACACACAAAATAAGACTTCACACTTGTGTGTTGTGTAAAAGTATGCTAAATAGTGTGTGTTATGGATTGCAGCTGTGTGGTTGATCAGAGTCCAGACTGATAACAGCTGTAACAGATTGATTGCCGCAATGCATGATGGTGCGTGCAGTCCAGGTGAATGGCTGATTGAGAATAGATTTGGCTGGAATACGTCTAGTGTGCTTGGTGGGCACTCCAGTTAAAAAAAAAAAAACTGACATTAATAGTTATTAAATAATTCTAGTCTTGCTTTGATTGGCTAGGTTTATTTAAATTTAAATTACTGTAATTTATGCAATATTTAGCTGTTTTTCACTTTGTGATTTTTTTAAAACTTATAATAGCTTATAGTATAGTAGATTCATGAAAGATAAATATGTTCCTTTAAAAAGTAAATAATAATAATAACAACAACAACAACAACAACAACAATAATAATACATTAAAAATAATCTATTATTATGAAGACAGACAGACCTCAAGAATCAGGTCATGAACCTCATGCTGGGTATGGCACAAATTCTAAATTCCAGCATGCACTGCAGCATGAATAATTGATTTAGTGTACTGGTTGTGGTTTTGGTTTGATTTAGCTGTTTATGTTAAGACTTTAAGTAGCCTGTTTGTGAATTAAACTGGTCATTTTGTTCATTGTCACCATCGTTGTGGTTCACAGGATTCTTTATGTCTCTGTGAGTTTCAGTTATACCATAAACAACATTGTTTTTGTCCTATGCTTAAAAACTTGCAATAATGTTGAGTTACATTTATTAATTGATTAAATATTTCATAATAGTGGTGGTGAATTATAATATTTAAAAACAAAACCAACATCATCAGATCTGCTTTTTTCTTGCCTCGTTTGTCATAACAAATAAGTTCTTTAAACAAAGTTTTCAAAGGTTACAGC